AAAGTACCTCCTGTATCCTAGTCCTAATCTCTTTTCCTAAACTCTTACAAGGAAAAGTGGATAGGAGAATTTCTCAGGACTTAGGAAAAGAGAACAGCCTTACATTTGTCTGTCCTTAACGATGTGACTTCGGATGTCCGCCGTGTTGAAGATTGACTACAAAACGCCACACTGCGTTCCAACCCTGTTGTTTTATGGGGTGATTTAAATGAGAAAAGCCTGTGAAAAATATTCCTTATTACAATGGCTGGCATTTTAAAGAAGGAAGAACGTTTAGGGTCAGATTTACTAATGTCTGCAGCAGCGCAGAGCCTTCTTTTGATGTTAAAAAGCTGCTGGATTTACTAAATGGCCTCAGTATAAGTTTGTCACCTGAAAGTTGGGAACAGAGGTATTTGTAGGAGTTTCACTTTTAGGAGAAGAATGTTTAAATGAGTCAAGCAAATGTAAATATGTTTCTTATGAAAACCAGTATAACTTTTTCATTGGAATATATTTATTTGTTTTCAGATTTAGAAGAATCTATAATCTATTCAGATTTCAGTTTAGTATCTTTCTGATGACTGAAGTGTAGCATTAAAAACAACCAGCACAGGAATCCAAATTTAAAGCTGAAATTGTGACAGCTTCAGTCCCTGCGTTCTGTTTGACCAACACCAGTTAATCTGAAACACCGGTCTCCGCTCTTGTTGTCCTCTTCAGCTCACACATTCCCAAATATGGCTGGGAGACGAGCTGCACTGAAGGCCATTGACTGGGCGGCTTTCGCAGAGAGGGTGCCGCCCAACCAGAGGACCATGTTCAACAACCTGAAGACACGAAGTGATGCCATTGCTGCCAAGTGTGTATTCAGTCTTCAAACCCTGTTCCAGCATTTTACAAAGGCGCATTGCACCCATAAAATAGCCTGATGTGAAGTCACCCGTGTCATACATGTTTGGTATTATTTCTTAGTATTTAGTTAACTGTAATTAACTTTATTTAGACGACCTCTGCATCTGTTATTGGCATTGCATCATGAGTATGCCCAGAATTCACCTGTGAAAGTGTGCAGATTTTGTCAAGAGGGGCTCTTCTGTCATATCTTGTCTGTTTACATGTCTTGTGATGACAGTAAGTTAGCTGTTGTGTGTTCACAGACTCACCTCTCTACCCGAGAAACCTCCTGCTATTGACTGGAGCTACTACAGATCTGTTGTGGCTAAAGCAGGCATGGTGGATGAGTTTGAAAAGAAAGTAAGCCGACTAAATGTACCGATTCAAAAGAAGTTGGCACCCACGCAACATGCAAATAAACATAGAATGCAATGATTTGTAAATCTTATAAGCTCCTTTTTTATTCATAGTAAAACCTAGAAACGTGTTTGAAACATCAAATATGAAAAATATACCACTTTTAATAAAAGTCTGTTGATGGGTGAACCTCTGCCCACCTTTCCTTTTGAGATTCTGCCCATCTAAGCTGCTTTTTATATAACCAAGCATGCAACTGACCTGTTGCCAATTAACCTAATTAGTTACAAAATTAGATGTTTTATTAGCAACGAATTGCAAATGAAATATAATTTGAATTCTGTTCTTGTTTACATTTTACAGTGTCCCAACATTTTTAGAATCAGGGTCGTAGTGCCTCTACAATAGCTTTAATGAAGAAATGTAAAATGTTAACATCATATTAATTTTAATGATATTTTCCAGTTACAGGCTTTTGGCAAAATAACCATGCTTTTTTTAATTTGCACTCGTTTTTTCCAGCAAGTTTCAACCAAAACAGAAGCCAGATTTAATTTAGTTGCAGTTTTTCAGAAACATTTGAACCAGTGCTTAAAAATACTGGGAAAAACTTACGCAAAACAGCAGCTGTGCTTTGTGTATTTTGCGTACTTGCGGCCTTTTTTCCAGTTACTTGAATTTATAAATCTTATATTTAATGTGTCCCACAGTTCAGTGCCCTGAAGGTTCCGGAGCCTGTAGACACTCAGACAACAATTATAAATGCTCAGGAGGAGGAAGCGGTGAGTGCCTCTGTTTGAAGATGGTGGATGTAAGAATGTGTGTCCCAT